GGCGCGCCGCGGGCCGGGCCGGGCTGTCCGAGGGGACACGGCGGAGGAGCCCTGCTCGCGGGGCCGGACCGGCTGGGTGGTGGTTGGCGGAGGAGGGGGAGGGGGGGCTGCCCGGCCCGGCCCGGCCCCGGCCCCGTATAACCGCCGCCCTGCCGCTGTGTTTGTCCGCAGACCGCCCTGAGCACGTTTTTCCAAGAAACCAACATTCCCAACAGCCACCACCACCACCAGATGGTAAGTGGGTCCCGGCACCGGCGGGCGGGCGGGGAGCTGGGGCGTCCTCCCCGGCCCGCAGCCCACCGGAGGCCGAGGGCGCAGGCCGGGGGGCCGCTGTCAGCCGCCGGCGGTGACAGCCATGTTGCCGGGAAGCGCCGCGCCGCGATGTAAACAAAGAGCCAAAATGTCTTCCAGGAAAGAGCGGCTCCCGGGGCCGGCCGGCTCGCCCAACTTCGTGGCCCGGCCTCCCGGGCTGCCGTTCCCTCGACCTCGGGCCTGGGCCGGGCGCGCTCCCCGGGGCAAGCGGGCGGGAGGGCGGGGTGGCCGGGCAGTAGCGGGTGGCGGGGCGTGGGGAGGGGGCTCGGGTAATAACTACTCAGTCTGGGGAAACTGGGAGCCCGAGCGAAGGGCCCAGAGGGCGCCGGGAGCTGGGGTGTCTGTGTTTACCGGGAGCCCCATCTTGCGTTGGAGTGGTAGCCCCCCATCCAAACAAGCCAGCTCTGCAGGGAACAGGAAAGGGATAAATCCACCCTGGCTCAGGGAGCTAGGCTCTACCCAGAGAGGTATGTTCTCTCTTTCCTGTTGTTGGAAAAGGGACATGCCCTGAGTGTGGAGGACGGAGGGATTTTGACACGATAAGGACAAGAATTTGCATTTAATTTCAGTATGTAAAGATACATAAAGTACAGGAAACAGAGCGGTTCAGGTCTGGATTTGCTTTCTTCTCTTGTCCAAGCTGGCCCCCTTCGGCCTGAGCCTTTGCCCTCCTGGCCAGTGGGGTGCCCTGCTTTCCGGGGACACAAGACATCCTTTCACTTTAGAAGCTTGAATGCCTTCCCCTCCTCTCCCCCCCCCACCCCCCTAGTTACCTATTAGCTCTGCTGTGGGAGGAGGGACTGGGCTCCACCATAGGGATTGTAAAACATTATTCCCCAGGAGATCTGCTGTGGCTTTCAGAGTGCATTTTTGGCATTTTTAACACTTGGTGTCCTTGCCCGTGGCTCCCTTCTCAGAACTGCTGCCTTTCCTGGAGGAGCTGAAATGGTTCCTCTGCTGTGTCTTGTCCTTGGTGCCCTGTTTTCATCTAGTTACAAAGGACAAGTAGAAGGGTCTATCTTGACATTTTAACCGGCTTTCTGCTTGGAATGGCTCATGCTGTGTATAAATCAAAAGACAGAAAACGTATTGGAATACGGTGGGAGAATTGGGGGAGCTGCAGGAGCTGCAGGGCCGTGGCAGCTAAGGCCAGGTTCCTTGTAAACCAAGAGGGGTCATCTCCCCGAGACCGTCCCCTGCACTTGACCATGGGAAAGCTCTGGCTCCCACCTTGCAGTAGAGCCTGGGAGCACCCTGCCTCCTATCTCTCAAGAGAGCCTTGAGGTTTGCTCCACCAACTTGTGGCCATTCGAAAAAGCCCAGGGACTTCCAGCACAGCCATGCCGCGGTGCTGTGAATAGGGAGGCTGATGCGGGAGAGCTGGGACTACTGGCCCCTTTAGACCTTGTTCTTTCTCTGCAAATCCCAAGGGGTTATAATCTTTTTTTTTTTTTAATTATTTAAGTAATCTCTATACCCCACACGGGGTTTGGAACTCACAACCCCAAGATCAAGAGTCGCATGCTCTTCCAACTGAGCTAGCCAGGCGCCCAGGGATTATAATCTCTTAAAGCTTCCCTCAAGGCCGGTTTTGTAACAGACATTATAATCGGTGTATCCATCAATACAGCACGTATTGAGTACTTCATCAGCACAGTGGAGAATGCCATTCCTGCCCTCAAGGAGTCTGTAATTTTTTGAGAGAGAATAAATCAAAGGAGAAAGTTAAATAAAGCAAGAGAACAGTGATGGCATACTAGCAATATACCAGAAGTGACCCCAGGGCACGAGTAACTGATAAATGATTGTCCCAGTGGGTTACTGTATAGTCACACAGTTGGAAGCATCCTCCCAGACGGGGGGCGGGGGGGCTCCGGGTTGAATTGAGGGGCACTGAGAAGAGGAGTGAGGCACTGGTTTGGAAGCAGGGTGCGGTGGGCTCTGTCCATAGTTTTTAGAAGCAAAGAGCTGGAGGGGCTTTGCAAGCATCTGGTCCAAACCCCTGCTTTTACCGAAGTAGGGCGAACCTCGGAGAGGTTAAGGAACTTGCCCGAGCTCACACAGCCAGGTGGGCCCAGGAGGCCCCTGGTCCAGGCGAGCCAGGCCATTCTCTGCAGCAGGGTGGTTCTTGAGACCGGCTTCACTGGCTTGGTCAACTGGGGAAGTCACGATGCTGTGATGCAATTGGCCTCTCCCCCCAACCCCCCATTCATTGTTTGCTGCTGCCGAGAAGTCAGCCCTGGGGTGGGGGGCGGGGAATCGTGGAGGGAGGAGGGAAGTGGTCTGGGTGGGGCCAGGCCTGCTGGGTCTCCTGTGGCCGCCCCTGAGGAAGACAATGGTTGGAGCTCCCTGGCTGCTGATAGGGTGCTGGCCCAGTTAACAGGACAGATGCGTCTCCCTCCCCATTTCTGGCTGGGATTTAACTTGCAGAGCTGTGAAAAGCTCCCTCTGCGAGGTGAAGAGCCCTAGAATCTTGCTCCCCCAGCCCCGTGCCTGGGGGAGGGGCTGGTGTTGCTAAAATTAGGAGAAATTCAAAGAAGGACTCCCGTGGCTTCCTGGGAAAGGGAGAAGCTGCTGTGAGGTCAGAACAGGCTTTGTGTAGGCCTTGCTCTCTGCTGCCTCTTCCCCAGGGTCCTGGCAGAGACTTATGGGTGGCGCCGCCCCCCCCCCGGCCCCACCATGCTGCTGGGGGTTGGCGAGGGGGGCGCCAGTCACAGTACAGCACCCTACCCCAGTCCTTGCCCTTGCCGGCTGGGGTCCCTGATCAGAAAGGGTGGGGGATACTGGAGAGTTTGGGGAGTTTTCCCCCCAGGAGGAGGGCTGAGGGGGACTGAACAGGCTGAGACTCTGCCAGCATCCCGCCAGCGCATCAAGAAGGAGATGCTGGGGACACAGAAAACCCAAATCCCTGGTTTTTGTCCTCGGGGAGCCCAGGCGTGAAGCACAGACGAGTCAGGGTTGGCTAGAGATTGAAGAGGTGGGGCCTCCAGATCTGGGAGGCCCCCTCACCGCCCTGGGAATCCGAGCCCAGGAATCCCATCTTCCACAGGCTGTAGCCTGCAGCGGGTGTATTTTGGTCCGTTGAGTTGAGCTCCTGGCCTCAGTTTCCTCATCTGTGCCTGGGCATTGTGACAAGTGAGATCATGAGACAGAGCCTCCAAGGTCTGCCCGCTGGTGCTGTGAGTGTGGAGGGAGCCCGGACGCTAGGAAGGTGCACCTTCTCTTCTCCTCCCTCGGCAGAGGAGGGAGACCCTGGGTCTGGCTGCCTTCCTTTGACCAACAACCTCGGATCATCTGAGGGCGGATTATTGAGGGAGCCAGCTGGTTTCTTACCCAGGCTGAGGCGCTAAGCACCGGTGTCCTGGGCTGCTCTCTTGTCCTCACTTGAATCTGACACCCTGGCTTCTGGTTGGAATTAACCCTTTGCTGCAGACACTCCTCGGGGGCATCCCTGCCCGGCATTCAGGAAACACTCTTTGGTTTTGATAAAAATTGTCGGGGTTTGTCCTTATTGTTTGTATTGGCTCAGGGCGAGAAGGGTGCTTCTGTTCGGTGGAAGCTGCCCGTGGACTGGAAAATGGGAATGGAGGAGGGGCCGGCCTGGGTGGGCCCCACCGTAGGCTCTGTTGGGGGTCCACTGGGCATGGCTCAGAGTTGGGTGGCGTGTGCCCATAACCTTCCCGACACCTGTGTTCTCTCCCAGCAGATGTGCACCCCAAGCAACACACCTGCCACACCGCCCAACTTCCCTGACGCACTGGCCATGTTCTCCAAGCTTCGTGCCTCCGAGGGCTTGCAGGGCAGCAATAGTCCCATGACGGCCGTGGCCTGCTCCCCCCCTGCAAGCTTCAGCCCCTTCTGGGCCTCGTCCCCACCCAGCCACCAGGCCGCCTGGATCCCGCCCTCCTCCCCCACGGCCCACAGCTTCCACCACCTCCACCACCCACAGCCCACGTGGCCCCCCGGAGCGCAGCAGGGTGGCGCCCAGCAGAAAGCCATGGCTGCCATGGATGGCCAGAGATGAGACTGGATGCTGCCGGGCGCTGGGCTGGAGCTGGGGGCAGGGGGGCAGTCCAGGGTCGTGGGGACACAGGAGGGCCGGGGTGGGGGGAGTCGGGGCAGGTGGGGGTTTCCTGAAGATCGCACTGGAAGATTTTATAAAATAATTTTTGTGGGTTGGGGGGGATAGTAAACTTCCTGAGCCACTTGGGTCCTTCAGGAGTTTCTCTTCAGACAAGTTTTTTTCTCTTTTTAATATATAACTATAATATATATGAAAATATAAATATAACTAATGTATGTGAGAATGGGGCTGGCTGACCGAGGTGTTGGGGTCAGCAGGGAAGGGCCAGAGCGTCCCCTTGGGCCAGCACCCCTTCCCTCCACCCCTCGTCCCAGGGCAGGTGCTTGGAAGCCAGGTGGGGTGATCCTGCAGTCATGAGGGGTCTGCTAGCTGCCTCTCAGAGGTCATGCCTTCGGGAATCAAGAGGACCACCGTGGATCCACTCAAGGAGTTCCACAGCAGGGGCTCCCTGAAGCGCCCATGGGCCGAAGGTGCGGAGGCCCCTTGCCTTCACGAGCTCTCCCTAACCGGACTTCCGTGGCTGGCTCCTCAGGGGCCCTGCAGCTCCGGGTCTCTTCTGGTGTCACCCGTCGCCAGCCGATGTGCGGGGCTTGTGCAGAACTAAAGAGCCGGCTTGGGCCAGAGACTCGGGCTCTGCCTAGCAGGGGTCCTGAGCCTCCTCGGCCACCCTGCCTCTCCCGCTGTGTGTCCCACCCGACAGAGTGGAGAGCTTGCCTTGGATTTACTTCCCAAATCAATCATCTCACCAGGGTGAAATTTTAATTTAAAAACTTAAAAGAGACTTTTCTAACTTCCCTAGTTTGCGGTGCCTTTATTTGCCTTGGTAGGAAACCGGGCTCTCCTTGGGAAGGGGCGGGTGGGGCTCCTGGTGTGCTGTGAGGGGGGAGGGGCTTAGGTGCCGTGTGGCTGGTCTGGATACTGGGAGAAGGGGTGTCCAGACCAGGGGGTTGATAGGACCAGCTGGGTCCAGTTGAGTATGGGAGGGAGAGTGGGGCCTGGGCCTGACTGGTTTCCATGACCCTCTCCCCTTGTTGGCCCTTGCAGTGTAGCCTGCTACAGGCTGGCGCTTGGCCCTAAAGCCTTGTCTGCGGTGCGGGGAGCTGCTCCTCCACTTTGTGGCCCCTGGCAGCACCCCCCGCTCAGGCCCCCCAGGCATCTTCCCGCAGGGCCCGCCTGTTCTGTTCCTATCTTCAACCTCTTGGGGGAGCCTGGCCCTGAGTGCATGTTGAGCGGCCATCCCCCAGAGGTCAACCAGGGCTGTCTGGGATCCACAGACAGGGTGGGTCCCCAAAGGGACTGGCTTCCTTTCCCTTCCCACCTTCCCCACAGCCTCCAGCCATTAGAACAGAAGCAGTGTTGGGGATTCCTGGCCCAGTGGGGCCTTTGCTCAAATGATCCGGCAGTGCGGGTGGTGAGGTGGGGCTGGAGGAGTGGGTGGCTGGCCCCAGGGCTGGGATTTCTCCAGCCTCATGCTGGGGAGGAGGGATGCTACCTTGCACCCCCCTGCCCCCCAAGACCCCTTCAACACGTGTGTGTAGCGGGGGGGGGGGCTTGTTTTCTCCCTCCTCAAGGGGCCAGGGCCTTGTAACCGACCCTGCTGTAGATGGGGACTGCAGGGGCGGGAGGTTCATACCCAAAGTGGGAGTGACCCCTGAGAAGGGCCCTGGGTCGCAAGCCAGGCCGCCGCCTCCAGCCTGCCCACCCCGCGGCCCCTGCAGAGCCAAGCAGCGCCTGCCCACAGCCACCCTCAGCCCCTCTGCATGGGATGGTTTGCCTTGAGGCTGGGTGAGTCCTTTCAGTTTGTTTCGTGACTGGAAACCCCTGGGCCTCCTCCCGGCCTCACCCCTCAGCCAGCCCACCTGTGCTTTCCGGGGCTGCAAGGGGAAGTCCCCGGAGGGCACGTGGGCGGCCGCGCTGGGACCACAGCCTGGGGAGGGTGGGCGGCCCGGCCCAGGTGCCAGGATGGGGGTGGGCCTGCGCTGCTTGGGGAATGTCCTCCCCTCCCGGCCCCTGCCTGCGCAGGGGAAGCCTGGGTGTGGAGGGCTGGGATGGCCTGCTTCTGCCCCTCCCTGCCAAGCTGGTGAGTCTGGATCCTAGGCCAGGGACACTGAGCTGGCAGCCTTCTGACATGTCTCAGGCAAGGTGAGAAATAGCCCGAGCAGGGTCAGAGGGGCTGGAGCTGGCCCCGGCCCCTGCTCCGGTAGGAGGGAGGAAAGGGCGCCTGGTGTGAGGCCTGCCTGCCGCCCCGGGCCCTCACGTTCAAGCTGCTCCCCTCTTGTCTAGCCAGAGCATTAGATCATTGCATGAAGATGGATGGGATCTCAGCCCATGGGGAAGGTAGGGGGAGGCCCCCCCGACCCCATAGGGAGCACCTGCCCTACCCCATGACACCCCCAGCCAACACCACCCTCCTTTGCCCACATGGGACTGGGGAGAAACCCTTTTCTGGGCAGTTTCCTGCCACACTTTCCTTTCGTGTGTCATGTGTCACGCCGTCCACTCACACCTTGAAGCAGCCTCTTGTGTGAGACATCCCCTTCCCATGTCGGGGTGATGGGGACTGGGGGTGGGGGCCCCCCATGAGGACAGACCTGAAGGCAGAAAAGCTGCTTCTGTGACTTCAGAGGCCTCAGGGGGAGGGCAGTTCTCCCTTGTCCCCAGGGCTCCAGTGGGGCCTGGGGGCTCGTCCCTTACAGTTGCTGCACCTGCTGAGCTCAGTCCCCGCCCCTCGCTCCTCTGTCCCCTCAAACCCGCCAAGACCCTTAGCACACAGGACTCAGGGTAGCAGTGAACCCTCATGCCTGTTTGGGGCTAGTGGAGCCCAGCGGGCTGGGGCAGGACAAAGGCTAGGCCTGGAGGCTGCTGGGCAAATGGCAGTCACCCGGCAAACCCCCTCCCGACACCCTTCTGCTCTTTCTGGGGAGGGGTGAGTGGAGCCCCTCTGCCTCTGCAGCAGCTGCTCAAAGGCAAGCTGCAGAGGCCAGCAAACCGAAACCTTCCCAGGTGACCTGCTCCCCCCAGGACGTCGTGCCAGGAGCTGGGCGCTGCCACCCTCACCTTGGCTGCATGGCACGGCTGGTGCACGGACACCACGAACCGCAACCTCTCCCGAATGCCCCAGTCGGCCAGGCCACCCTGTGGGCCAGCATCCCCAGACCGGAAAAGGCAGCAGCCTCGGGGTCCCGCTGAGGTCAGGAGAGAGCTGACGGGTGAGAGTGGGTCCTACTGTGGCCCGCCAGCCCCCGGGTCTGGGGTCTGGCCTCTGCAGCTTCTCCTGAAGCCCCCGCACCCTTGGAGAGTAGCTTCATCTGTTGCGGTGGGAGGCGGGTGGGTCATGGTCTCATTCTCAGGCCATTAAGTCGGACCTGTCCAATAACTGAAGGCCGGCGACCTGGACCTGGGCTGGGTCCCTCCCCTTCCACTCCATCTTCCCGAGCCAAGCCCATAGAAGCTTCGCTGCCCCCGAGCTTCTTCCCAAACATTTATTAATAACTTTGGTCAATGAGCAGTGGTGGACCGCGGCCCCCGGGTGGGCTCTTCAAGCCCCTCCCCGGGAGGCACGTCCATCTGCATCTCCATCTCGCTGGGGCTGGGCGGGTGGGCTGCGTTGGGCTGGGCCAGGTGCCCCTCGGAGGACAAGGGTCTGTCTTTCCGTGGAGGAGGAGGAGCTGTGAGACATGGGGGGGCTGAGGTGGCTCTGTCCCACTGTGCCCCACACCCACTGCAGCCGGCCAGGCCCTCCCCAGCTTGCACGAAGTGCAGGCCGATTGGGGGGCGGGCAGAATGCTGGAGAGGGGGCAACCCCGCAGGGCTGTGGTGGGCAGTGCAAGCCGGCATGGGAGCTCTGAACAGAGCTCCTTGCTAACCTCTGGGAGTTAAAAATAATCAAGCCCTCCGTCGGTGGCCAAGATCCTGCCTCTTAAGTGATGTTTCCTCTAGTAATGCAGGGGCTGTTGAGGCACTATTCACACCAACAGGTGCAGGAATTGTTCCTAAGCCTGCCCTCTCTCCCTCTCCCGCTCCCCTAACATTTTAGGTGCCCTCAGAGTAGACAGTGGAGTGCCAAGGAGGAGGAAGTGAAGTGCCCCCAAGAACACAATCGCAGCCCTGCACTCTGTCCGCTACCGAGTCGTCTGTCCCGGCCTGTCCGCCACTGAGTCACCTGCCACGCGTTGTGACCAGCATAGGTTCTGGAGGCAGACAACTTAGGTCTGAGTTCCACTCCCGCTGCTTCCTAGCTGTGCCTCCATTCTCGCAGCTGTCAGTGATGCTCACAGTGGTCTCTACCTCTCAGTGTTGGTGTGAGGGTCAAAACCCGTTCGAACGTGTAAAGCCCTTCACAGTGCCTGGCTGGTGAGAACCCTCACTAAAGGCGAGGTGCCATGACCAGGGCTGTCACTTGTTTCCGCGTCCTCCAGGCACTCACTGAGCGCTGGAACTGGAATGGGTGGTAAAGGGCATCTAGGGCTGGGCCTTTAACAGGGGTGGGGAAGGGGGGGAGCGGCCCTTGAACCTCCTGCAGGCATCTGCAAAATGTTGGGGGAATGTAACTTTCTATAGGAAGAAGATCAGCCCCTTTCGTTAGATCCCCTTTCTTGGGCGCCCCAACTCTTGAGTGGCACCAATCCGGCACCCCTTCTGGGCAGATGAGGAAACAGGTCTGGAGATGGGGCGGGGGGCGGGGGGGGACTTGCTCAGAGTCACTTGAAGGTGATCCGGCCTCGTGGCTCCAGGCCTATGTCCCTCTCTGGCCCCCACGTGTGTCTGGACCCTGGGGGACCCTTAGCCCCCAGACTTTCAGGCAGGATTTAGCCCCTCAGGGGGAGAACAGCGACTCGAGGGACCTTCCAGGCCTGGGGGTGAGGAGAAGCTCCTCGCCAGACAAGGTTGGACTGAGAGGTTCCCGGGGGGCCGTGTCACGGCCCCGTGCCCACCAGCTGCTGCCCAGAGCTGAGCACTAGCTCCAGCAGAGTGAGCCTCTGTGAGCCAGGGCAGGACTTGGGTGTGGAGCCAGAGCCTTGGGCTGCAACCCTGCCCCTGTTCCTTCCCTCTTCTGGGACATGGGGACAGTACAGCCCTGGCACCTAACAGGAACTCGGTGAAGATGCACGTTCTCTCTTCTCGCTCCCGTCCCATCTCTCAGCTCCCGCGTGCTTCCTCTCTCCAGGGAAATGAGGGCAGAGACCATCAGGGGCAGGAAAGGGGGCGGGCGGGGCAAGCAGGAGAGGCCCCGGGGCAGTGGGGAGGCCACCTGGAAGGCTGCTCCAGCCGAAGGGAAGCTACCTGGACTGTTCCCAGCCAGCATCTGAGCGCTCTGAGGCCGCGAGGGCAGCTGGTCGTTGTCGCTCAGGGACTGCTGCCTGTGGATGTGGGGCCGCGACTGCTTGGCCCTGTGCTTGGTCATCCCGGAGACGGAGGCTGGCGGGGGACAGCGAAGGGGGGGGGGGTCAGTTCTGAGACGCTGAGTGAGAGCTCTGTGGGGACCCATGGGGGATGGGGAGGGGGCTGCAGGGCCACCGGTCACAGCCAGCCTCAGCCGGGGTCCTTCCTGGTCTGAACTGATGGATATGCCCCTTCTAAGCACTCCATCCATTCCCATGTCCGTGCGTCCATCCACCCCCCCACGCCCACTCAGATACGCTCTGGGGACCTGCCCCCGGGAGCCCTGTGCCTGCTGCTGGGTGAGCTCTGACCTGGGCTCACAGTTCAGGAGGGCAGGAGGCTAGACAGGTGCACACAGCGCTCTAAGAGCAGGTGGGGAGTGACAAACAGTGCGGTCTGGCTTGCTGGAGGTGGGCATCAGGGGGGTGGGAAATTCTCCAAGTGGTGGAGAGCTGAGGAGGGGCATTTTGAGTTTCGAAGGAGGGTCAGAACTCGGCCCCGGTGGTGCTGGGAACAGAGGCTGAGGCAGGCAAGCCGGTGAGGCAGCACGAGGAGGAATGCTGGCAGGAAAGCTGCGGCCATGACATCCCGGCTCACTGGCTGAGAGTGGACGGCTGTCCCCCACCTGCAAACACTGACCTGGGGCTTTCAGGACGTTTGACATCAGGGAGGCAGAGGAGGAGAAGGCACCCAGGATCCAGGGGCCCCATGGCCTTCCTGGAACTGGACAGACCCCCGGGGACTCGAGCAAGGAGCCTATGGGCCCCCAGGACACTCACTGTCTTTGGTCAGGACGCCTGGCAGCCTTGTATCCATCCGTCCCTTGTAAATATGTCCATCCAGCCCCAAGATGTCCACCTCATCATGCTGTGGGGGTGGAAGGGGGACATCCATTACCACGTGGCACCTAGAGCGTGCCCTCCGGCCCTTCCCCCACGAGGGCCGGGGGGCACCGAGTGACGTCCTCTCCTGACTCCCAGAACCAAACGGTGCTCAGAACCCTCCCCCAGGGCTCTGGCAGCGCCGGGGTGAAGAGAGGGCCCACGGTGCGGATGGTAGTGCTGGATGGGCAGGTGGCCAGGATGGCATTCTTCCCAAGAAAGCCTAAGAACCAGAGGCTTTTTCAGAAACAGCCTCCGGGCAGAGGGCTCGTCATCCGCCCTTCTGGTGACTTAGGTGCTTTTTCCAGAATGACTTGAGAGCGCGGGGTCACGTCAGGGCCCTCTCTCTTCACTCGCAGGCAGCACCCCGAACCTTCACGGCGACCCGGGCCTCGTCGGGGGGGTACGGGCCCTGGGGCAGGTGCTGCAGGCGGTTGCGGCGGTAGGGGTAGGTGAGGGTGTGGCTGCCCCCACAGCGCCGGGGCCCACTCGAGGACGTGCAGTCGGCGGTCTCCAGCACCCTGTGACGGAGACGGCAGAGTCACCGGGAGAAGGTGTCACCTGCGACCCACCTACGGCGGGGGCCAGCCAGCCGCTGTGTCGGGGGTCTCCGGGAGCCAGGGCAGGAGCAAGGGAATGGCTGAGCCGAGCAACCCCACTTCTGGGCCATCCTGAAGGCCTCCGATACCCTCTTTCTACCCCTGCCCCCCCACCCGTCCTTGGCAGGGCTTTCCCCCCGCCGTGGATGAGACACCCACAGGGCTGTGGGCGGGCAGAAGCTGAGCCCCGCGGCCGGCGGCCCAGTCTGTGTGCTCCTACCGCTTATAGCAGGGGGAGCTCAGGCACTGTGCCTGCAGCAGCTCCCGGATCATCTGGCTGCTGGCCTTGACCGAGCCTCCGAAGTGGATCTGCACCTTCTCAATGTCCATCAGCATCTTGGAGTGCATGGTGCGCAGGCGCCCCACGCTCCGCTCCATGTGCGCCAACTCGCCCCGAGGGAGGGCAGTACCGCCCAGCTTTAGGCTGTGGGGCGCAGGCAGACGGAGGGGTAAGGGGGCCACACCAGCTTGAGGCCACACTCAGACCCTGGCCCACTCCACCCCTTTATCTGCACCTTTTTAAGCAGGACCCTGTGTGGGCAGGAGCCCTTCCCATAGCACTCCGAGGGGCCACAGATGGGGCAGGGCAGAAGCTGAAATGGGGAGAAGCCCTGCACACTTAGCCTTGCCTCCCTGGAACCCCAAGGGCTCCAAAGGGCAGTTTGAAACCATCCTTACTGCCGAACCCTCATCCTTGGGAGACGGAAATGCAGCGGGGAGGGGGGCAGGAGCCCGAGGGAGGGTGCAATACTTCCGCACCTTCTCCCCCCTCACTCACTGAGCCCACCCTCTGGCTGGGTGAGGTCAGACCCCCTCCCTTCCTCCCATGCCAGGGCTGCTGAGACAGCTGAAGCATCCGGGGGGAGTGTGAGGAGGTAAAGAGGAGCCCCCCCCCCCAGACAGCCAGCACCCTTGGCAATGACCCACCGGGACCCCCAATAGGGACTCAAAGGCAGGGGATTACTAAGTAGGTCTCCATTCTTCCTCTTCCGGGGAAGAACTGGGGGGCTAGCCCAGAAATCACTCCGTGCCCCCCCGCTGTCCAGCCAGGAGGAGGAGGGGCCCCCCCCACACTCGCCCTCCAGCCTCTGCCCCAGTCTCGCCTGTGAAGCCCTGCCCGGGAGCCCACTGCCCCGTACTTGCGGCTCTGCTGTCGGACCTGCTCCAGCTCAAAGATAGTGTAGGGGCGGAGGGAACGGTGCCCAGGCAGAGCTGGGCCCACAGGAGTCACAGGGATAAATCTGGGCAGGGACAGAAAGAAGAGGAGGGTTGGGGAGTGAGAAATCCCATTCCCAAATTCAGGTCCAGGGTGAGGCGCAGGGAAGGACGGAGGGCTAGCAAGCGGCCAGGCACACAGGAATGGACCCAGGGGAGAGGAGGCGAGGAAGGACAAGAGCTGGAGGCAGGTAGGGAACGGAGGGGCTACAGCCCTGCCAGGCCCGCCCCCATGACCGCCAGCAGCTGGGGTTGGCCCGGTGTGGGCACTCACTGTCCAGTCACAGCTGTCTCCAAGGGACGGTCACAAGAGAGGCAGTGAAAATGTGCCAAGAGCTGCCTGTGAGGAGTGGGATACACACAGATGGTGAGTACCCTGCCCAGAGGGTCGGGAATGGGAGAGCCGGAGGACACAGCAGGCCATGGCCCCTCTGCAGGCCAGGCGGGCTGGAGGCTTGGCTCACCAGGGCGGCAGGCCCCGAGCCACCAGAGGCAGGTCTGGTCCCAGTTCCCTGGGAACACACTAGCTCCTAGGCATGCCAGCTTTGGGGCGCCCATCCAGCACCCACCTGTCCTAACCCAAAGCCAGCAGGGTTTCAAAGAGCCCCTGACGGATGCCCTGTGTAAACCTCGGAGGCCCTCTGGCGGCCAACAATGGAAACCCTGGGATTCCAGCCTGCCATGGACCAGCCCCCCACGAGCAGGCTCAGCTCTGGGGACTGCGGGCCCGTCCCCGGCACGGCGGCCCCGCGGAGCACAGCCGTGCCAGAGAGCCTTAGCCTCTCTCCCCGCCCTTTCTCCGCCCTAAGGAACCGGCCTAAGCTGGGAGAGTTTTCAAGCTCTCAAATTCTGTCATGGCAGCTGTGGGATGGTCCAGCGGGATCAGCCATTCCCCCAGAGCACACCACACGCCGGTGGGAGCTGTTCATCTGGGGACCCCGCCCCCTCCACCCCCCAGCCCCCGCTGTCGTCCGTGCCCCACCTCCGCATGGCCGCCGCCTCATCTGCCTGGTAGAGTGGAGAGTGCTCTTTGAGCTGCTGCCGCAAGGACTTCCAGCGATCTTCCAGCAACTGCTTCACGGGGTCCAGCTCCAGGCGGTCCAGCTGCGGGGTGGGGAGGGCAGTGACCAGTGAGCGCTGGGAAAGCCAGGTGGGGGTGGGGGTGGGCCATCCGCAGCATCCAGACAGGAGCTGCCCTCTGCCCTCACCTTGCTGTCCATCCCCACCAGGAGCTTATCCAGCATCTTCTGCCAGTCCTGCTCCTGCCCGCTCATCTTAGCCACCAGCTCCTGCATCATGTGGTTCAGCTGCTCCGTGGTGGCATCAAACTGGACACGGCTCACTTTGGCCGCCAGGGCGCTCTTATCGGCTTTCTGCCCGGAAAGAGAGGAGGGGGCCTTCCACATGGGAGAGAGCCATGGAGGGGCCCCATTGCCCTGAGGCGTCAAGCCTGGACACTGAGCTCCCCGTCTGGGCTCCTCGCCACTCCTGGCCTTTCAAAGAATGACCGCTGAGACCCTGTGGGACACAAGGTGGCTCTTCCGGGCCTGGCCCTTACCACGTCAATCTCCATCTCCAGGTGTCCCCTGTTGGCCTTTTCCTTCTCAAGCTTCTCTAGACCCTGGTACAGTGCCTGGAAGGCGAGGGAGCAGAGAATGAGGATCCAGGACGGGAACGGCCTCGCCTCCCGCCCCGGCAGCCCTGCGGGCCCCTCACGTCAATGTCCTTCTGCTTCTGCCGATGGTCTTCGATGAGGTTGCTGGTGGTGATGTTGAGCTTCTCACAGTCACCCTGTACCTGCAGGATGGCGCTCTGGACATGGCCCAGCAGCTCTTCATCCTGTGGCAGGTGGCACAAAGGCAGGCTCCCTGGGGCCACTGGGCGGTATTGCTGCCCTGATTGATCGGCCCTTAAAACATAACCCAGAGGCGCCTGGGTGGCTCAGTCGGTGAAGCGTCTGCCTTCAGCTCAGGTCATGATCTCGGGGTCTTGGGATCGAATCCCGCTTTGGGCTCCCTGCTTCTCCCTCTCCCTCTGCTGCTCCCCTGCTCGTGTACTCTCACTCTCTCTCACTCAAACAAATTAAAAAAAAAAAAAAAAAATCATCCAGCAGGTAGGCCAACTTTGGACCCCATTCTGGCTCTCCACAATTTCCTCCCGATAGTGGGGAGGCTCTCTGCTCTTTCTGTGTGTCCACCCAATGGGATGTGAGCTTCAGTCCCCCACCTCCCCATGGTCTAGCCTTGAGGGACCTGGCCTGCCGCTGGGGGTGACCAGTAGAGGCGATCGAGGCTCCAGAGTGGTGAGCTGCCCTGTGGCTCCTGAGAGCTGGGATGTGGGCTACAGTCTCCCCACCTGCCCTGGGCTGGATCTGAACTCCAGGATCCAAGAGGCAGGACTCAGGGACTCGTGACTCTCCCTGTCCCCAGCGGCAAGCCTGCCCTTTGGTGGGGAATCGAGAAGGGGGCTGAAGACTGGTGTGAAGGGGAGTCAGTGAACCCTAAAGCTCTGCCAGTGTCCGTGCAGGTCTCACCCCCACGGAGCCAGGTCTCTTGTCCCCAGAGCCAGCTCGGCTGCTGCCTTCGCTGTGACCCAGTGAAAGGCCCAGGGACTTCTGTGGGGTCAGTAAAGGGCTCCACTATGGAAAACTGGCCCTTAGGCCAGTTAAAGCTCCATCAGCTGCTCCCCGCTCTTTGGGCCTCTGGGCTGTGGCTCCCCGCTGTAGGGCACGCGTGGCTGCGCCAGGAAGGGGGGCCAGTGGGAGTCACCTGGCTCTGGAGCTTGGCTTTCTTGGAAGGCCGGGAGGCTGCCAGGTTGTTGACCATGTCCTGGAGCTGCTCGTAGCGCTGCACCAGCGTGCTGACCTGATGGCTCAGGTCCAGGCTGCAGGCGGGGCAGGTGGCCTCAGGGTCAATCTGGCCAGGTTCCAAGGTTGACAGGGTCTTGTGAGGAGCCATGCTCATGGACAGCAGCGTGGAAGACGAGGCCAGCATGCTCTCAATGATCGTCCTGAGCTTGTCAAGCTGGGTGTGAGCGAGAAGGCAGGTGCAGGGCAGTGAGCGAGGCATGGCCACGTTCTGTCCACGCTTGTCAGTGCCTGTGTGATTCGGGCAGTCGCTGCACCCCCAATGCCTCACAGAATGTGGGGCATGCAGGAGGCGCCCAGTGCCCGTCCGTTAAATAGTGCACAGAGTTCTCAGCGAGTATAGCCTCAATACTGAATAAAACCCTTACAGGATGGAGGCTTCTGGACCTTTCTCCAGCCGGCTCACTCATTCAGTGTGAGGACACATCTCCTCTAGCTAAACCCTCGAGTGGTGAGGTCTGTTAGTCCACAAACACTTAGAGGAGCCTGACGACACCCAGACACAGCTTGGGGCCCTGGGGATGGGAGGGTGGGCTCACACGGGCTCTGTCCCCACCCCGCATGTCAGTAGCAAGAAGTCAGCGGGATGGCTGCTACTTCTGTGGCAGGGGCCTCTCTCGGTCTGGGCAAGAGCGGACGCCTTGCACTCTCTTACCCTCTTCTGTCCCACGGTCGCCGTGCGTCACCACACATGCCTGGTCCCACCCGGGTTGGCACCCGGTTCTGGGGCAGCTGGCCCCACAGCCGTGGGACCTCTGGCTGGGCTCAGAGAGGGGCTGGACCAACCGAACGCCCTCTCTTGGAAGTGTGTGACATCGCGGGGCCCAGGCAGCCCCTGTGGGCCATGTGCAAGAGAAAGGAGAGCGGGCTGGGAGCACGGTGGGAGGGAGATGTGGAGGTACTGGAGAGAAATGGATGAGGATGGGGACACGGAGGCACAGGGACACACAGAAACAGGCACGGAAAGACACGGAAGGAGCGGCCCCGGCCAGGCGGCCCCCTGGGCCCAGGAGCTCCTGCCTTTTCCAGCCCCCGCCCACCAGTGCACTTTCAACCAAGCTCCCTACTGCCTGAGTTCCTGAGACCCCCGCTCTGCACCAGGAGGAGCCTACACTCTTCTGAAGAGTCCGTAAGAGCATGTCAGAGGGCCCGTGGGATAAAAAGGGTGGATTAATTCTCTCTAGAAGAGAGGAAGGCGCCTCCCCAAACTATGGACATTTTAGGGGAGTTGTGAAGGATCAGTAGATCCTGGGTAAGTGGGGGTGACAAGGATGTTCCAGGACGAGAAGCAGCATGGGAAAGCAGCAGTGTGTTCGGACGTAGGAAGCTAAGACAGTGGGAGAACTGGGAAAGTGGAGGCCAGTGCCTTGAAGAGGCTGTGGCGGGAGCCTGGGCCTGCCCAGCGGGGCGTGGCTTCTCTCCGAGTGTGGCCCTGGGACAGCCCTGGAAGTTGCTAAGCTTAGACGGGAGCTGTGGACACATAATCTTCCGCTCCTCAAGCCCCCACACTGGACAATTGGCTTGGGGTCAAGAAATGGAACATGCCAGGGACACCTGGGTGGCACAGTCGGTTGAGGGTCTGCCTTTGGCTCAGGTGGTGATCTCAGGGTCCTGGGATCAAGTCCCGTGTCGGGCTCCCTGCTCGGCGGGGAGCCTGCTTCTCCCTCTCCCTCTCCTCCCCCTCCCCCCAGCTTGTGCTTTCTCTCTGTCTCTCAAATAAGAAAAAAAAGAAAGAAAGAAAGAAAGGAATGGTACATGCCGGTGTCCTGGCAAACGTGGGAGTGGCCCAGAATGGGGCCTCTATCACTGAGGGGGCTCCTGACATGAGTCCCCTTGGCCCAGTGGCTTCTCCTGTCCTATCCTCTGCAAGCACTCAGAGGGCTGCTCCTGGTCCAGACGCTCTTCCATGGGAACATTCTGGGACGACCGACGACGAAGCATCACCCAAGATTTAAAGGCAGACACTACTGGGGCACCTGGGTGGCTCAGTCAGTTAAGTGTCTGATTCTTGATTTCACCTCAGGTCATGATCTCAGGGTTGTGGGATTGAGCCCCACATCAGGTTTCACACTTGGCACACAGTCTGCTTGTCCCTCTCCCTCTGCTCCTTCCCCCGCTTGTGCTCTTTCTTTCTTTCTTTCTTTCTTTCTTTTTTTTTAAAGATTTTATTTATTTATTTGAGAGAGAGAGAATGAGAGAGAGAGAGCACGAGAGGGAAGAGGGTCAGAGGGAGAAGCAGACTCCCCGCGGAGCAGGGAGCCCGATGCGGGACTCGATCCCGGGACTCCAGGATCATGACCTGAGCCGAAGGCAGACGCTTAACCGACTGAGCCACCCAGGCGCCCTCTCTCTCTCTTTCAAATAAATCAATCTTAAAGGCAGACACTAACAAGAGAGTGGAAAGACAAATGGGCAAAAATATTTGCAAATTGTATGTCAGCTAAGAGTCTAGTAGTCCCACCATCCACAGCTCACTCTGAGAAGAGCCCTGGTCTCACCTGGTCCTGCAGGTAGAGGGAGGCTTCGGAGACTGAATGTTCCATGCTGACCTTGCCCCGCTCTTGGCTCTCCCTCAGCTCGGCCAGTTCCTTCTCAATGTCAGCCACGGTAACTCTGAGAGATGTGCAGAAAGAGACAGCCTGGCCCCGCCACCCACCCCAGGCCCACCGGTCCCAGCAGGGACAGAAAGAAGATGCACACACCACGGCTCTTGGGCCCTCCCTGCAGCAGGCTCTGTCTAGGGAGTCCCGGGTGCTGCTTGTCTGGGAAGTGGGGACCCCTGTGCTGGCCTGAGAGGTTTCTAGGGGGTGCGACCTGGCACCACAAAGAGAGGGCTCTGAGGGGGGCTCTGGCAAGTGTTCTCCTCCAGCCTCCACCTGGGAACAGAGACTGGTAGCGCTTTTCCTCCCAAGCCCTGGTGCTGAACTGTTTTGAGAACCTCGGAAACTTCCACCAGCCACTTGAACTACAAATGGACACCCTGAAAGGCAGACCCAACCTGGGCCAAAGACAGGGGCCAGTTCAGACTGTGAGTGAACCGAAGGCTGCCATCACCTCCTCGGCTGGGGAGATGAGACGCCCGGACACAAGCTGCCCTCGGCAGGGGTGTTTTACCTGAGGATTCCCAGCTGCAAGCTCAGCTGGCCATTCTTCATGTCTTTTCCTATTTCTTGCTCCCCGTTGCCCTCCAGGATCCTCTGTACCCTGTCCATCTACAAACCCAATGAAGAGGAAGGTCAGGGAGGCTTGAGTTCACATATGCTTTCCGCATATGTGTCCGCAGCTCGAGCAAGCCCCTCTCCCGAGTCCGAGTCCTAATCTAAGCCTCTAACAAAAACCATCTGTCAGTGTGTCCCTTCTGGACATCCATCCATCCATCCATTCGTCCCTCTGTCCATCCCGTGGGTGTGGACAGCTGGCTTTAAGAGAACGACTGAAGACCTAGTAGCCCCTTGCATGGCCACCGGCCCCAGACAGTCCCACAAACTTGGCTCCAAGGCTGCTGCAGTACCAGTGGGCTCTGTTGGAAATGGCCCCCCATGTAACGAAAGGAGCACTGGCCTCCTTGTTGGCTCAGCCAGATCTTAAGAGCTTTGAGCATCAGGTTTGAGATCAGGAAATGAACACGATGATACCTGAGGTACATTTCCTACCTGACGGGTTTGTAAAGATCCAATGAGATAGTAATGTCAGTGCAAGGATCCTGTGACCCATCAAAATACAAATGGAAAGTGATCGGATTACTGGCACTCAAAGGCCAAGTGGGCGGACCCGCCCTCACTTACTTTTGCTTTTTCCTGCCGAACTTCTTTGGTCAAGGACTTCAAGGTCTTCAGCTGTTCCTGCAGGTCAGCGGGTATACTCTTCTTGACTGTGAAAAGTGGAGGCCTTATTAGTCAGAAGGGTTAGATCTCCAGCAGGCTCCCAATCCCCATTCCCAGCCCCCACAGGGAAGCTACCCCAGCGAGCAGCAGGACACCTCACTTCTGCTTTTCCTCGTGACTGGGGAAGGGGGGGGATGGGAAGAAAGGAGAGGGTTATCCTTACCCTCGAAAAATCCACCCAGTGCTTACTATCCTAAAGGGCTTTGGGACTACTGACCCACACTTTCCACCCATCTCTCAAATCTTAATTATTCTCTGGGCCCACAGCTGTGCACGGACCAAGCTGAAGTTGAATTCTTCGGCATCCTCCCTCCCCGCCCACCGTCCTCAGCTGCTGTCCCCAGAGTCTGCCAGGGCACCGGAACCGCCTCACTCCTCTCCTGAGGCTCCTTCGCTCCGACTGGTTTAATTCCATCTTTTGGACCCCAAAGGCTATCGCAGAGCCCACAAAGGCTAAGAAGGGACATGCTATTTGCAGCAACTCAGGAAGAAGCCCAGCCGCCAGATGAGGCCAGGGGATGCTGAATACACAGACAGTGGTCCCTCCTCCACACCAGTGGAACCCACCCATGAGCCCGAGCAGGTGCTGGATCTTCTCCAAGTCGGTCTGGCCCTCCTGCTCCTCATCCAGCTCTTTCATGCTCTCCTTGAGCTCTACATAGAGGCCAATGAGCTCTCCCATCAGACGAAATGTTTCCACTGCCATGGGGAAGCTCGGAGCCAATTTATCCAGGGAATCATGTCTTTCGCTCTGGAAATCACTCTTTTCTGATGAGACTCGGTAGAGATAGTTAAGAGAGTCCTTGCTCCTGGCAGAGGCGGCTGCTTGGCTTGGAGTAGTCCAGACAGAAATTCCAGGTTGGTCTGAGGCATATATTTGTTTTGGATCCAAACCTATCTGGACATATGGATCTACCCCCAGGACGCCTGGGCTGTGAGGGCTGGGATATAATAGGTCACGGGATTCTGGGATAGAGTACGCACGGTCATGCTGGTCCGTACCTGCTTGCACCTGGCCCTGCTGATCTGGGCCAGGTGATACCAAATGCTGTGGATCTCGCTGTACGGATCCCACATGGCTGCTTAATGGTGTTAGGCCATGCTGGTCTGTGCCACGATGTAACAAACCTTGCTGGTAAGTTTCTGATAAACCCTCTTGGCCAATACCTGGTGATGCCAAACCTTGACTGGCTAGGAGTGGTGACACCTGATCATATTGGTATCTGCCAGGAGGTATTACACCATGCTGATATGGATGTGAGAAAAATCTTGGAAACTCAGGGTGGAATGTTGGAAGGCCACGAAGCTCTGTGCCTGGGGGTATCAAGCCTCGTTGTTCTGTACCAGCTTGCCTCAAGCCATGCTGATCTATTCCAGGTTGAACCAAACCACGCTGATCAGTACTAGGCTGCAGGAAACCTTGTGGATATGTACCAGGCTGGACCAAACCTCGAGGATAGGCACCAGGTGGAACCGAACCACGTGGATCGGCACTAGACTGCACCAAACCTTGTGGATAGGCATCAGGTTGGACCAAACCACGTGGATATGCACCAGGCTGTACCAAACCAGGAGGATATGCACCAGGTTGAAAAAAGCCATGTGGATCTGCGCCAGCCTGTACCAAACCACGCTGATCTACTTGCCCCAAACCACGCTGATCTGCACCAGGTTGGACAAAAGCAGGCTGACCCATGCCAGGCTGAAACAAACTAGGCTGACCTGCACCAGGTTGTACCAACCCACGCTGGTCCATTCTAGGTTGAGCCAAACCACGCTGACCTACACCAGGTTGTACCAACCCATGCTGGTCCATTCTAGGTTGGGCCAAACCACGCTGACCTGCACCAGGGTGGACCAAACCAGGCTGGGCTGCACCACGTTGACCCAAGCCACGTTGGTCCATTCCAGGCTGCACCAAACCAGGCTGACCTGTATCAGATGGTACCAAACCAGGCTGAGCTGCACTAGGTTGGACCAAGCCACTTTGATCCATTCCAGGTTGGACCAAACCAGGCTGAGCAGCACCATGCTGGCCCAAATCACGTTGATCCACTCCAGGCTGCACCAAACCAGGCTGACCTGTAGAAGATGGTACCAAAGCAGGCTGCACTGCACTAGTTTGGACTGAGCCACGCTGATCCATTCCAGGTTGGACCAAACCAGGCTGAGCAGCACCACGTTGGCCCAAAACACGTTGATCCATTCCAGGCTGCACCAAACCAGGCTGACCTGCACCAGGTTGGACCAAACCAGGCTGAGCTGCACCACGTTGGCCCAAACCACGTTGATCCATTCCAGGCTGTACCAAACCAGGCTGACCTGTACCAGATGGTACCAAACCAGGCTGACCTACACCAGGTTGCATCAAACCACGCCGATCCATTCCAGGCTGTGCCAAGCCAGGCTGACCTGCACCAGGTTGCACCAAACCACGCCGATCCATTCCAGGCTGTGCCAAGC